TAGATCTTGTTTTGGAAGTGAATCTGTGCAATTGTAGAAGCAATGCACTACATTTAAAAAAATGGAAATTCACAGGCTTTGCAAGTTGTTGGCATTCAGGGAAAAATGTCTACTTGTCACAGACACAGGAGTGAGCAGATTTTTCAAGCAATTTTTCAGTGTGCTACATTTTCATATAGAGTGAGAATTTATTAAATAATTCAGATATGAATATTTTCTTACAAATAGGAAATGTCTTGTTTTTAAGTTAAAAAAAAGAAAAACCAAGAAAACCAACTCCGTATCAGATTCTTATTTGGTCTTTTAATTGGTTCTATGTATTCTACAGGCTGATCTTTTCCATGAGAAGCTTGTGCTGTGGACTTATATTTGAGGGGTTATGCAAAAAGCACAAGGATGGTTATTCAAAAAGAAAGTTTAAGGATGAAGCAACAACAAACCCAGCTATAATATCATTAGCCATATCAATATAAAAAGTTATGGGGCGAGGCAATCTGTATGAATAGAACATGGGTAACCTTATAGGCTGACCTGCATTAAAAGCAGTCTTCTCTTTTTTTTAAATATTTTTTTGAGTTGAGAAAGGAAGGGTCTTTGAGTGTTTTGTTTTTTTTTTCCATAGTGGGTCATAGAAAGCCCAAATATTTTTTGTCAAAGCTGCTCTCCTATCTTTTGGATAAAGATGGAAAAAAATAAATAACTTTCCAGGTTTTTCCCACATGCAACTTTCCCCTGGAGGGATGGGTGTTTATTTTGGCATTCCTTTTTTATTCTTCAGTAGTTGTTTTTGCTCTTTCTCAGCTTCCAAAAATGTGAAACTGTCAATGAAAATCTTTAGGAAAGTAGTTTGAGAGGCAGGTCATATGGAGATGTGACTGATGTTAGCTAGCTGATATAATATTGTTTATTAAAAAAAAATTTTTTTCTACTTTTTTCTTTTTTACTGTCTACTATTATGCTGCTTTTCAGTGGGCATTACTAAAAACTTCACTTTTGCCAACTAATGAAGTGAGGAGACTTCAGGTAGTTAAAGTAATAGAAGTTCTATTTTCTTTTCACAGGTGTGATTACTTAGGAAAACTTGTTACCTTTAGTAATTGACTTCATAGCTTTCTCTGGTTTTATTTAAAACTTGTTTTTATCTAGGAATGTTAAAGATGACTTCTCTATAACTTTTCCTTTTCTCTTGACTGATATGGGTATTTAAGATAAGGGACTGCAGGATACAAGGCTGTGGTTAGAAGGCTTAATCTTTAATTACACCAGACTTTTATATTTGGCACATTCTATGTGGATGTGGTTTGGAGTGGAGCATGGTGCAAACCAAAGGTAGATCTAAGCCATATTTCCCTTCCACTGATCCTAGGGTCAGACTGTCTGGTAGAAACCTAAAGCAGCATCTGCTGTCTGAATGTGTCCTTGCTTAATCTCATGCCTTAAGAGAGAAGGTAATGTTTATCAAACTGGGTGTGTCTGCATGAGATGCTTTACTGTGCATTAGACTAATGAGCACTAAAGCATCAGTGTCTACACATGTGTGGGTTTCACTACGCAGTAAATTAGGCTAATGCACTGTTTTGCTGGTACCAATAAATACAGGTACTAAATTAACAGCACACTAGCTACCGTGCAGTAGCGCATGTGTAGACACTGACCAGGAGCCAAATTGCTCCTGGTTAGCCTAGCCAGCAGGGGGCTGCAGGGGGAGCTGTTCTGGCTTGGTAGGATGCTGCCTGCCAGCCATGTGGGGATCAGGATCCCAATGTGGCTGGCAGGCAGTGTCCCTGACCAGCGGGGACGGCTCTCCTGGCCACGTGGGGATCGGGACCAGCCCGTGTCCCCTGACAGCCCCTGGGGAAGCCTGGAGGTTCTCTTGGCTGCTATAGGGAGACAGAGCAGAGCAGGAGCAGCTGGGTTGATCCTATTGAGTGCAATTTGCTCTTGACAGGAGCGCACATGTAGACGTGTGCACCGGAGTGCTTTAATGAGCATGAATTTTCTGTGAAGAAAATTCAGGAACGTTAATTGCACATGTAGACTGTGTACCAGTATGGGATTGCCTCATTGTAGGATTCCAGGGATACTTCTCTTAAGACAGTTGTCAGGCCCCTTTATGCTGCCAAAGGTTGAGGGCCTGATCGGGTGGTCAGCAAAGAATTTGTTTAATTTCTCTTTTAGGGGGGCACCAAATAAAAGGGGAAAACCTAGAATATGGACACACAATCACAGTGCTATGGAATGGAAGGGTAAATATCACCGATTCATATTGTAGTTCTGGGGAGCCTTGGCAGAATTTTCCATAGCTTCTGTTATTTTTCTCTTTCTCTTTGGGAAACTAGGGAGATGATTTCCTTCCATCTATTTAATCATTAAGCGTCTTTTTATCTGATGTTCCGTTCTTTTGGACTAGGGATATGAAAGGAGCAAAAGATGATCAGTACCTCCTTCCTGGGCCTTTGTCCAGTGTGGAAGAGGCCTCTAGTCAGTGTAGAGCTAATGTATTCTCTTTTCCCCTACTTTTTTCCATGTAGCTTAAGCTAATGGCAAGGCTGTGTCTTGCCCCCATGGGGCCACAATAACATTTGTTTAATCCTTTGTGAACTTTTAAAGAAGGTCTACAAACTCGATTTTGTGTATTTTGGAATTTAATTTAGACAGCATCATATCTACTCTGGTAGTCTGAAAGTTAGGTTTAGTAAAGAACTCTGCATGTATGTGCATGCTAAAAGGATACGTTTCCCCAAATGCAGTTCTGAAGCCACATTTCTGTACTTGTGTATGGGGACAAATAAATACCCTCACCTTTTATTTGTACTATTCAGTTTCATGAGGCAATTTAGTCAAATAGTTCTAATACAGCATGTAACTTTTCACTGAAAACCAACTTTTTGTTTAATTTTATGAAGTAGTTGATGGGGTTGTTGAAGCCAAATGACTCGCCCAAGATAATGGTCTGACTCACCCAGAATTGGAATGAATTCCTTTCATCTTTTTAGGTCCCAGCCCTATCTGTAATCAGTAGCCCACTCTGTATTTGAAATAACATTTTAAACAGTTAGATGTGTTTTAAGTTGGGAAGGCCTGATTGAAGTATTTTAAGGAGGTAGCTGAAGGGAGTCTCTGAACCATTATTGATCTCTTCGCAAACCTGTGGAGAAGTGAGATTCCAGATGACTCGAGAATGTAAAAAATACCTATCTTTACAAAGTGGGGAAGGAAGATCTGGGGACTTATACCTGTCAGTCTAACTTCTATGCCTGGTAAGATAATGGAACAAATTATTGATAAATTGATAAGCATGAAAAGGGTAAAGAGAGCCAGTCTGAATTTTTGAAGAACAAATCCTGCCAAACTAGTCAAATTTCTTTGATATCATAACTGACCTAATGGAATAGTAGATTTTTGTGAGGTTTCTGACACTGTCCTGTGTAACTTCTTGCTTATTAGTAAAGGAGGGAAAATTGGTTCAGCTGATATTATCCTGAAAGTGGGTGCACGAATGTTTAACAAGCTTCAGTCAAAGTAATTATCAGTAGTTCTCTGTTAACACTAAAACCATTTCAGGTTGGCCTCACATGGGTCTGCCCTGATTTGAGGTCTGTTCAGGATTTTCTTCAACACTTTGGAAGATGGAATAGAGGTAATACTTATAAAATTTCTAAATGACGACAAGTTAAGAGAGCTGGCAAGCATGTTGCGGAGAACAGAAACAGAATTGAAAGCGACCTTTATAAATTGAAGAAATGGGTCTAAAACCAACAAGCTGAAAATCGGTTAGAAAAGTGCAAGTACTATGTTTAGGAAGAAAAAGTCAGTTGCATATATACAAAATGGGGAATAACTGCCTTGGCAGCAGTACTGCAGACAGTCTTGAAGATGATAGTGGTTGACAAACTGAATATTAATAATGTGGTGCTATTTTTTTAGAAAGCACTTCTAAGATGCATTAACAGGAATAACATCTAAGATATAAAAGGTAATGCCTCGGCTCTGTGTAGAACTTGTGAGGACTCCATGTGAGATGGTGCCTGGAACTAAACACAGTTCCATGAAGAGAGAAATAGATGTTACAGAGATAACGGGCGAGAGCAATAAAAATAGTTACAAATTTAGACAATAGGGCATAGGGCAAATGGGAAAGAGCTGAAGGAATAGTTAGTTTTGTCTGGAAAAGAGAAGACTGAGGACAGATAAGTATTCCAGTGCAAAAAGACATCATCATGAAGAGGACAGTAATTGCTTGCTCACCATGTCTACTAGGGGTAGGACAAGAAGAAATCAACCTACTTTGTACATTTAAGCTTGATACTAGGAAATGCTTTCTAACTGTCTGGGTAGTTTAGCAGTGTATTAGGCAGTGGTTGCAGAATATCCTTCACCTTAAGGTTTTTAAAAACAAATAAAAATGTTCAGGTGTGGTATAGATAGATACCCTGGGGGTGGAATGGACAGGACTAGATTTCCTCTTAATGTTCCTTTAATTTCTACCCTTCTGTAGTAATTCATATCTTGACACAGACCTCATTTGTCTTTGATATTTTTGAAAATCTGTTGTTTTCTATAATAAGTAAGAAGCTTCCAGGTTGTTTGTGCCATGCACAAGTATTGTCTTTCTGTAGCCATCTTTCAGACTTTTTATCAAAAATATTACAAGAATAACCAGTAAACCATCTGCAACGATTTTCTAAACTTAAGCAAAGGTGTAGTAATATCAGATGGGTAGAAAAGCCCTATAGTGGAATAGGTCACCTATTTAACTTGAAATGATATATGAATCCTTCTATAATGGCCTGAATTCTGTGATGTTCTTGCTGATATTTCCTTCAGGATGAGATTTACTTTGTCCTGGTTGAGCCATCATACTCTCTGTCATCCTGGGCTTGTTCATGGATTACCCTTGATCAGTATTAAACAGTAATTGAACATGCAAATCCATGTTGCAGAGGTCTTGTATTTCTTTAGTATTTCTCTTAGTATTACAATGTACATGTTCTGTGGCACCTATCATGGTGCTATCTGAACATAATTTCATTGCGTCTTTTGCCTTGTTTACCCCCACAAAAATAGGTATTCCACAATAAAGGCTACAATGTTAGCAAACACATAGGGGTCCAATATTTCTGAGTAAAGTTACACTTAAAGACTTTGTAGATGGCAGATCCTATTATTTAAAAAAACAAAACAAAACCCCCAAAAAACGTATATGGAGCATATTTAATAGTGCATAGCCAAGGTATTGAATTGGCAGCAAAAGTTTGGTAGAACCAGAAGGATGCTGCCAGAGGGGTGAAGTTGGCAAAACAATGTGGAGGCATGCACAGCAGTCTGGCACCAAGACAGGTATTACAGTAAAGGGTTTGCTTTCTGTTGTTGGTCTGCCTCTTTGCTCTTGGCTTTGTATTTTTTCCAGACTTGTGAGTACCTTGTTTACACGGTTGATTATTTTCACTAGAATGAGGTATGTATTGGATCAAGTTGGTCCTATTTTCTAAGGTGCAGAATTAATTCCTTCCCGAGGTGGAAAAAAGCAGTGGGCGGCACCTCTCTTGGCTTTTACTTGGGATCTCACACAGTGGTGGGAGGGTCTGATACTGGAAGGAATGACAGCTTGCAACTGGTATTCTGGTGAGCTGGCTTCAATACCTAACTGCCATGCAGCTCCAAACTTGTCATATTGCTTTTCCTCTTAATATAAAAGCAATATTTCCCTGCTTCATAGGTATATTGTGTGGGCATGTAGTGACCATATATGTGCTTAGATAATATTCTTAATGGTTTAACATTTTTTTTTAATCTTCTTAGAGGTGTGTAGTGCTTAGCATTTAGCTTTATTTAAAACGACTATTGTGTCTTTCTGAAACTCAGTTTTAACTGAGATTCTAAGGATATCATTACTACAGAAAAGCTATAATCATTGCTAACAATGCATTTGTTTAGCACAGCTGCAAGAGATTGTCACTTCATCTTTGTTGCCCCAGTGTATCTCCATTTACACTATTTATGTATAGCTCCTGGCAGTCGTTACACTTAGGACACAATTAGTCTGATATCTTAAATAGTAATCTGGCCAGGTATTTAGGGAATTAAGGATAGCACAGAAATAATATATAAAATGTGTAATATTTCTGTGCCTGGTTTCAGATGAGTCTTAAATTGAATGTGTGGCAAGGTTAGGATTACACCAAGGTGTCCCACAACCCTGGTGCGGTCCCCATCAGCCAACAATCAGCTGATTTGTTTTTTTTTGTTTTCTTTGGCTGGGTCTGGGACCAGTCTTGGTGTGGTCCCCCTGTGTATGGCATGGCAGAAGGTTGGGATTGGATATCAGTGGTTGGGATTGGATATCAGATCCCATTGCACCTTTAAGTGGATGTCTGTTAGCAGCCAAAGAAATGTAGTATAGAAAGTCATTTGAAGGCCAAGCCTATTTGAACTTGTATTTCATTGCTTCGTTGGCAATTACTTAGGTTTTATGTGAAACTTTCTTAAGGTTATCGGAATCTTTCTTTGAGGTGGTGATAAAGCAAACATTGATAATACATGTTATTGTTGGGTTTGCTGTGCAATAGCACTAACAGAGCTTTTGTTCTTGCAGAAGAGTTATTAATAACTTGTGAGTCATGGAAGGACTGCCTTCGAACTGAGGGAAGGTGGCAGAACACAATTTTTGTTGCAGAATCTATTCATGTAAGAATTTGTATCTTTTAAAAAATTTTCAGGAGTTTAGTCTCATTCCAAACATAGCTTGCAAAAACAGTGAACTTTTTGGTGGGGTTTTTCTTTGTTTGTTTTCCCCCTATGCAGCAAGAAGCAGCAGCTATATTGGTGAGGAACCCCTTCTTAATCTCCTCAGCTACTTTTTCCTGCCTTGTTCTCTTCTCTGAAAAACAGGAAGGGGTGGGTGGAGTACTAGCTCAAAGTTTTTCATACTCTCTCTAGTTTCTGTCCTCTGCTCCAGCAGACTGAGCACCAAGAACATAAGATCTGCCACGTTGAGTCATGATGTATAGCCCAAACACCTTTCTCTGACGGTGGCAAATAACTGTTTCTTTATACGAAGACTATAAGAAGCAGGGCATTTTTAGAGCAATCCATCCTTGGTCAAACCCCGCATTACCTGCATTCATAGGGTAAAACACGTTTTCTACATGAGATTCCATCCCTAGAGCAGCTTAAGTTTGGCTAATTCTTTTTTTTTTTTTAATTTGATTATAGTTTTGGCTTCTGTAGACTTTATTTCAACTCTGGTTATTGTTAGACTCACAGTTAAGCACTTAACTATTCACATTCAATTTTTGTCCTTTTTTCAGCTATGTTGCCTCTTTCCCAGATAGTTTTGTTTGCCCAACATTGGTAGAATCATTAAAAGGGCATTCTAAAACTCATCTGCTTCTGAACTTATGTCTTATCCTTAATTGTTCAGTAAGTGTCAAAATGTGGGTGAAAACAAATTGCAGTAAAGACCTGTCTAAAATACATGCTGTAGGATCTGTCAAATTAAATTCCAGTGGTACTAAACCCCTCCAAATTAGGAAGACTTTGCCAGAGTAATATTTGGTATAAAACTCCATGGAGTATTCAAGACTTGATAATGATGATGATCCTTTTCTTTGTAAACTAATGAAGATGATCTGTATTTGGTCATTTTCCTTCTAAAAATGCTGCTAATGGTTAACACTAACAATAAGTTGTCAGTGTCCAGAAGGTGAGGCGTGAAGCTTAAGGAATGGTTTTGGGAAGTTGTAATCAGAGAGGTGCAAAGAATCACTTTTGGAATTTTACTGGGAAAGAAGTTAATACAAGTTTCTCCAGAGGGGGACATGATGACAGAATAAAATGCATAGTAGAAAGAGAGAGATGTCTTTTTCACATCCATGAAAATAAGAGGGAAATAGGGATAGAATATTTTGAAGGAGATCAATTTCGGCCCAAGGAAGTTACTGTTAAATAGCAGGGCATACAGGATGGGATTTTAGGGCAAAAATGGATAGCAAATGTTATTAGGATTTAGTTATTCAGATTTTTAAAGAGAAAAAATGTGGTGAGGGAGGGAAAAAATTAGTGGCTGGTGGGTTGATTAACAGCTATTGTACTTGCATTTGAAATTGGAAGAGTTTGATGGCAGAAAAATCTGGGAGAAAGACGCATGTTCTACAGAAAAAAATGATTTCAACTTGACTAAGAACTGAAGAAATGGGCTCAGTACATATATATAAATCATGCAGCAAAGATAATTTTGCAAAAGAAAATTTAAGAGATGTTACGTGTTTATTTTTAAACATGTTCTTTTAAAATCTGGGATTTTATTGCTCTACATAAATATGGTGGGGGGAGGTGGCAGGGGGAGATGGATAGGTGCCAGAGAGGAAGAAGAGCTGTTTTAGTTAAAGGGTAAGGTTGGCCCAAGAACAAATGGGTATAAATTGTCCACAAGCTGGCTGGGCCTAGTAATGGAAATAGTGATGTTCTGGAAAAGTTTTCTAATGGTAGTAATAAGGGCAAAATACCTAAATACTGTTGTGATAGATCTTAATTCGCTTAATGAAGGTAATTACTAAATGGTCCTCTGACAGCAGAGACCTAGATTTAGGCCCCTGGTGTATGTATAGTTAAAGCAGGGTGGGCAATAATTTTGGCTGGCGGGCCACTTAATGAGTTTTGGTGAGCTGTTGCATACACACAATCTTTCAGAAGATAACAAATTATAGATAAAAACATGTATATTAAAAATATCTATAATATTTTAATTTTACTTAAGAAAAATGGTTGTCCTGGTTTTATTTTTTGAGTAATGTATATAGAGGCAATTGCATAATTGCTCAAAATAAAGTCTTACTCCTCTATAGACTAACTGAGTAGTTGGAAATAAGTTTTTAGCAAGCTTTCAGGCACAATCGCCCTGTGGCTCCACATAGCCACTGCTGCCACGTAGGGCAGCACAGAGGTGGCAGTGAAGCAGCCACACCACAGCCTAGCATGGCGTAGGCTCTGGGTGGGTGGCTGCATCAAACACTGCCTGGCAGCAGCGAGGTCAGCCAGGTCAGCTCCCCATTCTCCCTGCTGGTGCAGCCCAGCCCAGCTCCACAGACCACTGTCAGCCCACACCCCGTGCTCCTGCTGCCCTGCTCTGAACCCCGCTGGTGCTGACCCCGGGACACCAGCAGAGGCCCTGTGCTCCCCCTTGCTTCCACTGCCCCTGCCCCCGCTTGCCCATCCACCTGCCGGCTCCTGGCTGCATGGCTGTACTGTGGGGCTCAGCAGGAGCCGGCCTGGGAGCCAGGGGCAAATAAATATTAATTTTCTAAATTTTTTAGGGGCCCTGCGGGCTGGATAGAATGGCCTGGTGGGCTGTGTCCAACCTGGGGGCTGTATTTTGCCCACCCCTGCCTTAGGACAACACAGCTACAACCAAAAACCAGTAATATATATTTATATATTCACATTATATAATTATTAGCATTATAAATATAAATGTATATATTATTCTGTATATTGAAATTAGATTCTGTCTATACTATAGCAATTTTTATATAGTACCCATAGACTTAATTCATTCAGAATTGATGCATTTTATTTCTTTTGAGACTGCTGCAAGTTTTAGCACAGGTACTTCATGAACAAACTTTTAAGCAGCACTTTTGTACCTACTTAGAGAGAATACAATTTGCATCGTATTAGTCCAAAGCCAAAAGGCTCATGATTTACCACATAGTTCGCTGGGCTGGGTCTCATCAGAGTCAACACCATTTCAAGCCATGGTGACCTGACAGTTCATCCCTGCTCAGTATGTGTGTGTACTCCAGATATACGCCCCCTCCTCTATGCAAAGGATCCACGTGCTAGTACAATACCAGGCCAGTTCCCTGTGGAGGGAATACCTGCCCAGCTTTTTTTTTCTTTTTTTGAGCTGCGCCCGTGTGTGCACATGGACACATACATGGTTCCTATCAGCATGTTTGCCCATATAGGTCACGTGTTGGCTGCTGCATTTAATCAACGTCATAATAGTAATTATAATTATTAACATTATAGATATAAATTAATATATATTATATAGTATTATATATTCCCATTACTGAGCACATGCTGCTTTTAGCAGCAGATCAAAGATAGACAAAGTATTTCAGGCGGTTTCCTTGTATGTGAAGGTATGACACAGGGCTTTTTCCACCATGTTTTTCCCCCCTCCTCTTGCCAGCCCAGGAGCAATAATTCCATCATGAACCAGAGTTTATTTCTTTGCCTTAATTGCATGTGTAGATGCACCCCATGATGCATAAACTGCTCTGTAGAGCAAAAACCAATCTGCCTCTTGAACCTTTTAGGTGTGGATAAAAAAACTTGTCCAGCCAGACTTGTCTTTTAACTGGAAGGCTACTAGCAATCACAGAAATGACAGAACTAAGCAGTGTCATGCATATTATGCAGATACATCCAAGTCCAGACTCTCTCATTATCCTTTTCTTTGTATCACCTCAGGCTGTGACCTCACAAACTAAGCAGGGTTATGCCCAGTTAGTACTTCAATGAGAGGAGTAGAAAAAAATGCAGTGCAAGAGGAAGCAATGCTAGTGCATTAGTAGATGAGATGACACCTTTGAGTTAATAGAAACCCAGGGTGTTAAGGGATTCTCTACTGCTGAAGAAGTTTAGTGAATGAAACGTAAAACGGGGGTCCTTATATGTTCCTTGGTTCCATGGCATTCTTTGTAAACATGAAGTTTACCTTGGAGCTCTTGTCCAGGGTCAGATTTTAGTGACTGCATTCTTTCTAGCTTTTTAATTTTCTTTGCAGCTCCTGTAGGATAAGATGTTCCCTACTGCCTGTCATTTAAAAAAAATTTTTTTTTTGGAAATGTTTAATTGTGTGGTCCAGAAAGAATTCAACAGCTGCCATTACCATGCCAGGGGTGGCAGTGTGCGGAGGAGATAAGAATTATATACAATTTGGGTCTGATTTTGACATGGGATTTAATTTTTTTGAAGCTATAACTTTGTGTCTTCAGTGACTTGTACCCACCTGTTATTGCCCAGAAAAGAGATGTATGGATTCATGGAAATTGTATATTAGGGTTGCTGAGCACAAAACTGTTCTCCAAAAAGGGTGTTCTGTTTGAACGTGGGTTCAAACAGAGATGAGTAAGCATCAGAGATATTCATTCCAGAAAAGCTGCCGCTTTGTTTTTAATGCATTTAAAAATAATTGGCTTTAGAACAAATATAGAATTTTAGTCTCCCTGATCAATTGAGATATGCATATATATGTTTATTTTTTATAGGATTCAAGTGCCCTGTATGTTCAAAGTTTGTATCATCAGATGAAATGGATTTGCATCTTGTGATGTGTTTGACGAAGCCAAGGATAACCTACAATGGTAAGAAAGAAATAAACTAAGAATGTCTTTTTGTTTTAAGTCCCAACTGAAGTAATCATTTTTGTTTAACCATTTGAGACACTTATAACTAATCGAGTATGGGAAGACTATAATTTGAGAGGAAAGTTTTTCATGTATGTATGGTTTAACTTTACAGCAGAATCCATTAGAAAAATGCATGATTTTTACAGATTTAATTATGAAATGTTTGTATAGCATACACAGTGGTCGCGTCTGAGAGACGCTGACTGCGCAGTAATCAGAGTTACTGCGCAGTTGTGCTGTGGAACAACTTTTCATGATGCTAACTGCACAGTGGCTCATGACTACTGCACAGTAGTGTCGTGTCATGCTTCCTGCCACGCAACACTACTGCACATTAGGATTCCCAGGCAGTTGGAAAAGGGCGAATATAGTGCCCATATTTAAGAAATGGAAAAGGGAGGATCCAGGGAACTACAGATCTCAGTTGTAGCTCCGACAGACCTGAGCCTCACCTCAGCCCCTGGAAAAATCATGGAGCAGGTTCTCAAAAAATCCATTTCTAAGCACTTGGAGGAGAACAAGTTGATTAGGAACAATCAACATGGATTCACCAAGGGCAAGTCATGCCTGACCAACCTGGTGGACTTCTATGATAAGATGACTGGCTCTGTGAATGTGGGGAGACCAGTGGATGTGATATACCTTGACTTTAGCAAGGCTTTTGATACAATCTTCCATAACATTCTCTCAGGCAAACTAAGGAAGTATGGAATGGATGAGTGGTCTGTAAGATGGATCGAAAACTAGCAGGGGGCATTGTGCTCAGAGGGTAGTAGTCAGTGGCTCAATGTCTAGTTGGCAGCCAGTATCAAGTGGAGTGCTCCAGGGTTTGGTCCTGGGGCCTGTTTTGTTCAGTATCTTCCATCAGTGACCTGGAAGATGGGATAGAATGCACTCTTAGCAAGTTTGCAAATGACACCAAGATGGGGGAGTAATAGATACACTGGAGGGTAGGGTTAGGATTCAGAGTGACCTAGACAAGGGGTTTCAACCAGGGGTATGCATACCCCTGAGGGTACTTTGGAAGGTCCCAGGGGTACGCAGGGGTGGATGAGGATGGAATAGTGCCACCCTGCACCGCTGCCTCATGGGAGCAGGGCCACACAGATACTGCACTGCCACCGCTCCACCACTCGCCACTCCCCAGCTCTGCATCTGGCTGCTTGCCCACCCTGCCCCTCTCCCCTCCGCTTGGTGTTCAGTTGCTTGCTGCCCCCCCACCCCTGGAGCACACTTATTAAAAAAGGTTGAAAACCCCTGACCTAGACAAATTGGAGGACTGGAACAGAAGAAAGCTCATGAGGTTCAATAAAGATAAGCGCAAAGTCCTGCACTTAGGACAGAACAATCCCATGCGCTGACAGGCTGAGGACTGAATGGCTGGGCAGCAGCTCTGCAGAAAAGGACCTGGGGGTTACAATGGTCAATAAGCTGAATATGAGCCAACAGTGGGCTCTTGTTGTAAAGAAGGCTCACGGCATACTGGGCTGCATTGGTAGTAGTGTTGCCAGCAGATCAAGGGATGCGATTCTTCCCCTCTCTTCAGCACTGGT